CCCCCCCCTTCATCCTCCCGCCACCGGCCACGGGGAGCCACGGAAACCCCACGTAATAGTATTTTATTTGAACGACATAAAAAGGAGAGGGAGGGAGAGAGGGAGGGGCTGTCAAGGGCTGGTGTCACCTCGCCCACCGCCCCGCCGTGACACCCCCCCACCCGGGGACAGGGCGACTCCTAACATCAGACCTTAAAAACATGGTTATTTTATAGACAGAGCCGCAGGAGGGCCGTACTGCGGGGGACAGGGAAGCTGCTGTAGTGAACGGCATCCCTATGCTGCTGGCAGAGAAAGAAGCGTTGCCCGAGGGGGGGGGGGGGGGGTCTCAGTGTCCTGGAAAAGGGGGTTTATCCCACGGAGGCCATGATGACATCCACGGGGAGCTCCTCGCTGCTGCGGGCGGTCACCTGCATCGTCACCGTGTCGGTCAGGACCAGGCGAGACCGGACCAGGAGGTCATGGCCACCCCGGAACACACCTGGAAAGGGGGAGCAGGAGGAAGGAGTGAGTGCCCCCCTCCAAGCCTAAAAACGAAGGCCACTGATTGGTGAGGACAGGTTTCCCATGGGGCAGTCTGGCAAAGCCCCAGCGCTCAAGGAGAGACCCCCGAGCAGCACATTTCTTGTTCGTTATAATGTCCTTGGGACTTTGCTTTCATGAGTTTTACAGTATCAAAGTCTAAAATAAGGTCCAGGAGCTCCCTCAGTGACTACCAGCTCCAGGACACATCCATTTTGCTCAGCAAGGGTGCTGCGCTTTCCCCCCAAGGCTCACTCCAAACCAGGAGGCCACAGATCACGAAGACAGCAAATTCCACCCAGCTGAGCCCAGGGCTGATCCAAACATCCACCCCCTGATCCCAACACCAGCTCCTCTGCTTGTGGAGACAGAAACCATGGCAGGAACAAGCCTCCAAATCCCACTGGAGTGCAGCGGGCTCCACCAAATACTCCTGCCCTGGTTTTCAACAGGCAGCTCAGTGTGACCTCCTGAAGAGCTGCTCCTCAAGCAGAGACCTCACCCCACAGCTCACCTGCCAGGTACAACGTGTGAGAGTTCTTGTTATCTGGCACTTTATCTGACCGCTCGCAGGGCTGCATCCCCAGGAACTTCACGATATTACTAACTGCCTCTGTTAAGAAAAAATAAATAGAACAGGCTCCATGTCACAGGTGTCTTGACAGTGACACACAAAGAGCATCTATAGGTGACTTAAGCCCTCCCTACACGTTAGGGATCATGTTCCTTGTCCTGAGGGACACATAACATTGGCCAGCATTGTGTTTTTGGAGGCCACCAGGGGAAAACCGCACCACCACCACCCAGCAGCTCTGTTATCTGAGGCAGCGAAGGTGCAGCAGAGGCAGGAGGGTGGATGAGTCAGACAGCGGAAGCAGAAGAGCAGAGCTGGCTGCACGCTCACTCTGCAACCCTGACGGCCTGCTCGCTTCTCTGGGGACAGATGCAGGAGGAAGGAGACACAGGTCCTTGGGAGGAATTTGAAAAGGCCTCAGGGAAGGTATTTCAAGCCCAAGGCACTGTGCAAGGAAGCAGAGAGATGGCTATAGGACAACTACACCCGTCTAAGCCACCAAAGGGACCAAGTTTTTACAGGCTTCTCAGAAAAAACAAAACGAGTCTTTAATACCTGATGAAAGGGATGAGGGCTCACACCACAAGCCTGCCCACCAACCTCACGTCTTCTGCTCTTTGCATATTTTTTTATTAGTCTTGAGTCCTAAGGTCAGAGCATCTCCTCCTTTCACAGAAGGGAAGCGGGAGCTCACAGCTGAACTATGGTCTGTCTGGCTGGGAGGGCAGATGTTCTCTTGCCTCCCACAACCCAGTTTGGTCTCCACAAGGCCCAAAACACTCATTTGGTGTTACCCCAGTAACTGTAGCTCTGCGTTTAAGACCTGTGGTGAACTAGTTTGTGAAGGGCTGTGCCCCATTAGCCTTTCTGTGAGAGATGTAAAGAGACTGCGCCTCCAGACTCTGCCTGCTGGAGGGAAAGGATTGTTGAGAGCTCTGCTGGGCCCAGACACCCTCTTACCTTCAAGGGTTTTAATAGCAGATAAAGTAAAGGTCTCCTCCTTTTCAAACTCATCACCCACTTCATCCCAGGCTGCTCCAAAATTTGGCTTCAGAACTCGCTGGATGTGATCAGCCACTGTTACCTCCAGGTCTTCAAGCTGATGGTAGAAGAGGTTCAAGTGAAACACGGTTTTTTGTAACCCTGCTCTCTCCAGAGCGAGTTTTAGACTGGATTCCCTGAGATCAGGTGAATGTAGGAGACAGCCTCCACTTCCACTCAGGAGTATGTCAGAGCAAGCCCTGTCCCTTCTGATCTGCTCATGCAAATAATACTTCTTTGAGCAACTGCTTGGGCTGGGAAAGCCACTGGCCGTGCCATTCCCAGGGCTCACAAAGCAAGTTCCCAT